ACCTGTGGAATAGTCTTCCTACAACACTGAGAGAATGCCCTACATATAGCTCGTTTAAAGTCCAGTTGAAAAAATGGCTATGGGCAAACCAAAGTTGCACACATTAGTGGGTATGTTGTATCTTATTCTAAAAAAAAATATTTTGTAATGTGTACATCTGTGAGTGTTTGTGAAGTTGAATGATTTTTTAAGTTTTATGTGAATATTGTATATAGGATTTTTGATAATTTAATGATAAATGATGTAGATGTAAATTTTATTCTGTAATGTTTTGTGACCTGTGTGATCTTAGTACGTGGGACTACGAATGGAAATTAGCTTGTAGCTACAATCCGGCATGTGTCACGGTGTTGTGCGGGTAGAAGAAGATGGCTGAGTCAAAAGCTCCAAATCAAACAGTTTTACTGATCAAACTCACAGGTACAGACAGGCAGGCAGAATGACGGGCAGAAACACACACTAAACACAACCATATAACTTTAACAACCGACAAGGACAGACTGAACAGAAGCAAACTAAATACAAGCATGAATCAGACATAACAAGGTGAAAACAGGTGACACTGATGATGATAAACGAAGGACAGGCTGGTAAGTGAGGGAGTGAATACAGGTGTGGAGACGAGGAGGATTCTGGGAAGTGTAGTGAAGATGACTAAGACAGACAGGTGCAGACGAAGACTGTGACAGAACGCCCCCCTTCAACAAGGGGTGGGGTGGGGGGGCGGGCGCCCTGAAGGCTGGCCAGGGCGTGGCCAAACTGGGACAGGAAGCCTCCAGGGCGGATCAGGAAGTGCAGGCGGCCAGGGCGGGGCAGGACGTGCAGGCAGCCAGGGCGGAGCAGGACGTGGGCGTGGCCAGGGCGGAGCAGGACATGGGCGTGGCCAGGGCGGAGCAGGACATGGGCGTGGCCAGGGCCGTGGGGCCCCTTTCGGGCGGCCATGGCGGTGCGGACCCCTCGGGCGGCCATGGCGGTGCGGACCCTTCGGGCGGCCATGGCGGTGCGGACCCTTCGGGCGGCCATGGCGGTGAGGACCCTTCAGGCGGCGAGGACCCTTCAGGCGGCCATGGCGGTGAGGACCCTTCGGGCGGCCATGGCGGTGAGGACCCTTCGGGCGGCCATGGCGGTGAGGACCCTTCGGGCGGCCATGGCGGTGAGGACCCTACGGGCGGCCATGGCGGTGAGGACCCTTCGGGCGGCCATGGCGGAGCCCTATGGCCCCCCCCAAAAAATTAATGGGGAGAGTGACAGAGTCACTACTAGTCTCTGGGCTGGACGGAACCAGCGGTGAAGGGGTCTCTGGGCTGGACGGAACCAGCGGTGAAGGGGTCCGTGGGCTGGACGGAACCAGCGGTGAAGGGGTCTCTGGGCTGGACGGAACCAGCGGTGAAGGGGTATCTGGGCTGGACGGAACCAGCGGTGAAGGGGTATCTGGGCTGGACGGCCCCAGCGGTGAAGGGGTATCTGGGCTGGACGGCCCCAGCGGGGAAGGGGTCTCTGGACTGGACGGAACCAGCGGTGAAGGGGTCTCTGGACTGGACGGCCCCAGCGGTGAAGAGGACTTATGGGCTGTAACAGATGTGTGTGCAGCCCACACACACAAAACAGCCATGGACCCCACAATGAGAACCGTGTCTTCCAGAGCAGCATGGTCGGTCTCTGGCTGGACGGTCTCTGGCTGGACGGTCTCTGGCTGGACGGTCTCTGGCTGGACGGTCTCTGGCTGGACGGTCTCTGGCTGGACGGTCTCTGGCTGGACGGTCTCTGGCTGGACGGTCTCTGGCTGGACGGTCTCTGGCTGGACGGTCTCTGGCTGGACGGTCTCTGGCTGGGCAGGCTCTGGCGGGCAGGCGACGGGCTCAGGCTCTGGCGGGCAGGCGACGGGCTCAGGCTCTGGCGGGCAGGCGACGGGCTCAGGCTCTGGCGGGCAGGCGACGGGCTCAGATTGGCTGGACGGAACCAGCGGTGAGGGCTTGACTGGGCTGGACGGAACCAGCGGAGAAGGCTCTGAAGGGCTGGACGGGACCAGCGGAGAAGAGGGCTTGGTGGAGATGGCTGTAGTGTGTGGTTGTGTGGTGATGTCATCTTCAGCCTCACCAACGGTGAAGGCTGACCCACACAACCACAACACATGATCGATGTACTGGACAAACGTGCCTTGGATAGTTGCCGCTGGAGCTAGTTGGTACAGGCTCTCATCTAGCCCGCCCCAAAACACAGACTTCAGGACATCATCTGTCCAGCTTACCCCGTTGGAAATTGTCAGGAATTTGGAGACATAATCCTCAATTGGGAGTCCGTCCTGAAAACAATGGACCAAAAGATCGGCTGGAGTTGATAGGAAGCGGCCAACTTCCATACTTTTTCTGGTCGGTTGTTCTGTCACGGTGTTGTGCGGGTAGAAGAAGATGGCTGAGTCAAAAGCTCCAAATCAAACAGTTTTACTGATCAAACTCACAGGTACAGACAGGCAGGCAGAATGACGGGCAGAAACACACACTAAACACAACCATATAACTTTAACAACCGACAAGGACAGACTGAACAGAAGCAAACTAAATACAAGCATGAATCAGACATAACAAGGTGAAAACAGGTGACACTGATGATGATAACGAAGGACAGGCTGGTAAGTGAGGGAGTGAATACAGGTGTGGAGACGAGGAGGATTCTGGGAAGTGTAGTGAAGATGACTAAGACAGACAGGTGCAGACGAAGACTGTGACAGCATGTTTACATGCATGTATTCCATGTTTGTTCATTAACATGCACTGTCCCAATCAAATAAAATAAATAATAATATTTGATGCCATTGCAGTGTTTCCTCTAGGATTTTTTCCAGCCGTGGTGGCAGGCCCATTTCGCCAGGGGGAGGGGGCGTGGCCCATGAGTGATATTCCCATTGGCCACGCCCCCTTATCCCAGGTGTTTAAACCTCCCCTAAGCATTATAACATGAAAGGCGCCAATAAGAGCGGCAAAGCGATTATGCGCATCCCGTGCGCAGAATGATGCACTTGAAGCAACGCAAAGTCACAGCGTACAGCGCTTCGCATTGAAAAGTTCAAAGCACAAAGTGAAGAGATTATATCTATCTATGCTTACTGTATTATATCTATGCAACAGTTTATTGAGCCTTTTCTTTTAACAGTTTTAAATTTCAGTTAACTTACAGTGCGCATGAAGAACAATTCATAGTGCTCTCTACTCTAGTGCTGTAGCTAGTAACAGACACCCGGGAGAAAGGAATATGATTTAGAAAGCGCTATAAACTCCAGCAAGATAAAGTAATTTTATGCAAACTATAGACCTCTATCTACAAATAAAGTATAATAATGGGAACATTGATCTTGAAGAGGGTGTCGTCGTGTTACTGTCGTAACCGAACGTGACGTGCTGTTTGAATGCTGAATGGAGAATGACTGAGGAGAGATTAGTTTCCATTAACTTTAACTTAACGACTTAAATATACATGTAACCATGTTGAAATATATTCATTAGAATAATATATACAAGTTTGAATAAATAATTTCATAGTTTAATAAATAGAATGTAAGGTTAAAAAGTTAAGATTCATTGACCAGCAATGAGTTTATGATTGAGAGAAATGCATATTGGGTTATGTTCATGGTTAACTGACTACAGCATTTAAAAGGTTAAATATTTGTTGTGTAATAATATATGTGAAAATACTTTAAATATGCCTGTAAGAGTAGGAAGAAAGAATTACACAAATGTTTTGTGAATTTATTTTATTTCTGAAAGTTTTGTGAATGATCCAATCACAGTTGAGGTCAAAGGGGAAGGGAGTGGATAGAGAGCATCGAAGAAGTGAGAGAAAAACGCGTGTGGTTTGCGGAAAGAGAAACATGGTTAATGTTAATGAAATTCACCAGTTTAGTCAAAGTGTTCAACCCGGACTCTTATACGAAACTTTAATGGTGATAATTCTGTCTGTGTGAGTGACATACTCTGCACACGAAGACCGAAATAAGTTTAAGTTAGCCGCTGATATAGTGGTTAGTGTTTGTGCATGGACTTTTCTAACAAGCTAGCAACCAGCGACCTCGATTAGTTAAGCCTGTGTGGAGCTGTGAGATCGACGATGATGATCAAAGACCCGACGGAGCCGGATAGCGTTACCGAGTGGTGGACTTTGCCCAGATCGTCAACCATGTGACTCTTCTCTTCATCTTCATCTTCTCTTCATCTTCTCTTCATCGCGAATCCTCTCGTCCTGTCTTCTGCTGCTGACACTTTGATCCTGTGCACGTGAGATTACTTTCACATTGAGTAAAGCTACCATTGTTTGTTTGGCCTGTTTGGTGAAGCAGCCATTTGATTTGAGACTACAACGTACCCGAGCTACATTCAGGCCTGCATCAGTTGAACATTTTGAAGGGTATTTCAGATTCAACTAGGGTTTTGCCGGCTATTTTATTTTCTTGGGCCCTTATGTTTTGAATGTGAATTTGAATCCATTTGTGATCTGAAGTGATTTTGACCAGAGATATTTAATTACTCTTTCTTACTCTTTCTAATTTTTCTGAGTAAATCTGTTATACTTTTTTCTATATAACAGTTGTGGTCACTGACTCTTTTGATATTTTTTAGTTAATTAAGAAAAATAGTATTTTTTGGTTTAAATGTGAAAGTGTTTACAGGATAATAATTCCAATACATTTAATTTCCAGTTAAAGTGTGTAAATATTACTGCTTAAATAGTGATTTAAAGGGAAAGAGTATTTCATATTTAGTTAGCAATTACACACACACACAAGTTAAACACTGATTAGTTTATTAGTGAAACCTCACTTATTTGATTGTATTTAAAGAACGCAGGATAGCCACCTCTCATTATAGTCCAACACACTAGAGAGGCGCTACATAAATTGGAGGCACCGCTGGGATAATTAGTGTGGGTTTCTTGTTTATTCTTGTACATTTTACATTGAAAATAGCATTGTGAAGTTTTAAATAGTGCTAACGTATAAGCTAAAAATGGAACGTATGAAAGAGCTAGTATCAGATTTAAAGGGATGGTGCCGTGGCGAGGCATTAGACGAGGCTCATGCAGTCATGGTGCTCATTCAAGAAGTTGTTTACCCAAGTGCAATAGAAGAGACAATGCAAACAGTGAAGTGTTTGGGACGTGTGCGAGTTAGAGGCCGAACTTTCAACAACCAACTAAACCGATACTTGGTCTTGTGTGAATGTAAGGAAGTCGTAAAAGGAGAAATCGTTCCCTTTGAAGTGCTTCCTATTGACGGTGGAGGGCCGTGGCCTGTTATCATAGCAGATGCAGCTACACAAGCCAGTACACAAGTTTATAAGTCTGGAACACAACAAGCTCCAGGTAAACATGTTGAAGATCTTCGTACATTGTTTCCTGAAGATGAGGCTGCTGCTAAGTCAACAGAGGCCATTCTGCGAGCTGTGAGTGATTTACTTGACAAAACGTCCAAGTCCTCAAGTGAGCATGGAAGCTATCACCGCCTACGAACTTTCTCTGGGTTGTTGCCCACCCCAGCTGGAGAAGAGCAGTTCGACCACTGGTTGGGTCAAGCACGGCTCATGGTTGAAGAGTGTGAATGCTCTCACAAAGAGAAGAGGCGGAGACTGATGGAAAGTCTCAGAGGCCCGGCACTTGACATTGTAAAAGCAGCACGAGCCAGTGATCCTGATGTGAGCCCCGAAGACTGCTTAGAGGCACTGGAGCATGCTTTTGGGACAGCAGAGTCAGGAGAACAGTTATATTTTGCATTTCGTTTACTGCAGCAACAACCAGGTGAGAAGCTGTCTGACTTCCTCAGACGTCTAGAACAGTCGTTGAATAGGGTGGTACAGAGAGATGGTCTCCCTCTTGGATGTGCAGATAAAGCAAGACTCGACCAGTTGTTGCGTGGTGCGATAGCCTCTGATCTGATGTTAGTTAACCTTCGTCTGAGAGAGAGGAGAGCAAAGCCCCCCACCTTTCAGCTGTGAATGCCTCAAAACCAGTAGCCAGCTCCCCACAACGATCATTCAAAGTATCGGAGGAACATTTCTGTTATCGATGTGGCGACAGTGGGCATTTTGCAAGGAAGTGCCAAAGCCCAGAAAACCAGGCTAAAGTTATCAAGAGACTTATCCAAGCTCTGAAGCTGTCCAAGAACAACCAACCGTCAAGTGATGCCACCGCTAATGCAGTTAACTGTTCTGTTGAGAAAAGTACAGCTGACATGCCTGAGGGTGTGCCTATTCCTGATGGGTTGGTTGGGCCACCTAGCCTGGTGCCGCTGAAGGTAAATGGACAACCCTGCACTGCTCTATTAGATAGTGGCTCTCAGGTGACGATCATTTTTTAACCCTGGTACCAGAAGTACTTGTCTGATATCCCCATTCAGCCAGTATCTGGTCTTTCCTTGTGGGGTTTAAGTGAGTCTGGAGCTAGCTACCCTTACCTTGGCTACGTGGTAGTTGATGTGGAGTATCCAGCTGAGGTGGTAGGAACCAGTCAGACTGTAACTGTCCTAGCTCTCATATGTCCTAACCACAGGACTGAAGATAAGACGTCTGTCATTATGGGCACCAATGCGAGCCATGTTAGACGTCTGGTAAATCGATGCAAAGATAATGGCATTGATGTCACCCGAACACTAGGCCTTCGTGTTTGTGTCGAGGAAGATCAACCTGCTCTAAAGGGTGTTGCGGTCCCAGTGCTAGAGGAGGAGGCTGGTCGTGTCCGATGGATGGGTCCAGGCCCTTTAGTCTTACCCCCAGATGGTGACACTCAGGTTGTGTGCAAAGTCGAGCTGAAGAAGCCGGTTGCTCAAGAAATCCTGATGATAGACTCCTCACCAGCAGCTGTCTTACCTGCTGATGTGATTTTTCATCCCATGGTTGTGCCCAGTGGGGCATTGGATGTCAACAGTTTGAGAATACTGCTCAAAAACGACTCTTCAAGAGAAACTTCCATACCTGTGGGTACAGTGATTGGATGTGTGTACCACATTGATTCAGTTGCAACGATTCCCCCTAAGGAGACTGTTTCCGCTGACTTTGATGAGAGCATGATCAACTTTGGGGACTCTCCTATCTCAGAACAATGGAAGAACAGATTGTGTAAGAAACTGGCTCAGAAGTCTCATGTCTTCTCAATGCACGAGTGGGACGTGGGATTAGCAAGAGGAGTAGAGCACATAATCCGACTTTCTGATTCCCGGCCTTTCCGTCAACGATCACGCCGGCTAGCCCCTGCAGATATCGAAGATGTGAGAAAGCATTTACAAGAACTTTTGCAGGCAGGGATCATAACAGAGTCGCGAAGCCCCTACGCATCCCCCATAGTCGTTGTCAGAAAGAAGACTGGGGCTATTAGGATGTGCATAGATTACCGACTGTTGAATAGCCGAACCATACCTGACCAGTACACAACACCATGCATTGAAGATGCGCTGAATGCCTTAACAGGGAGTCAGTGGTTCTCTGTACTGGATTTGCGTTCAGGCTACTACCAGATAGCTATGTCCGAAGAGGACAAAGAGAAGACAGCATTCATTTGCCCGTTAGGATTTTTCCAGTTTGAACGAATGCCTCAAGGCATTACTGGGGCACCAGCAACCTTTCAAAGGTTAATGGAGAAGGCTGTCGGTGACATGAACCTCTTACAAGTGTTGGTGTACCTAGACGACATGATAGTGTTTGGACAAACTCTCGAGGAACACGAAGAGAGACTGCTCAAGGTCCTAGATCGTCTCGGTGAAGTTGGGCTGAAACTCTCAGTGGACAAGTGCCAGATCTGTCTGCCAAGGGTCAAGTACCTGGGGCACATTGTGTCTGCAGAAGGAGTTGCCCCAGATCCAAACAAGATTGAGGCAGTCGCTACATGGCCTGTGCCAACAAACCTGAAGACGTTACAATCTTTCCTAGGATTTTGCGGTTATTACCGCCGATTCATTCAGAACTATTCTGAAATTGTAAGACCACTGACTGAACTCACAAAGGGATATGCTCCAACTCAGAAGAGAAAGAAGTATGCCCAAGATGTGGACAAAGTCTACTTAAAAGAATCAGAGCCTTTCGGGGAAAGATGGGACAAATCCTGTACAGATGCGTTTCATCACATAATTCACTGTCTGACGCATGCTCCAGTCCTGGCATTTGCCAATCCACAACATCCATACATTCTCCATGTGGATGCAAGCTTGAAGGGTCTTGGTGCTGTTCTTTACCAAGAACACCCTGAAGGCTTGAGACCAGTTGCCTTTGCTAGCAGAAAAGTCAGCTCTGCAGAGAGAAACTACCCCATACATCAGCTGGAATTCTTGTCACTCAAATGGGCAGTAGTCGACAAATTCCACGACTATTTGTATGGGGCAAGATTCACCGTACGTACTGATAACAACCCACTTACGTACGTGCTGTCCACAGCCAAGCTCAATGCGGTGGGGCATCGCTGGCTAGCTGCCTTATCGACGTACAAGTTTGATGTGCAGTATCGCCCAGGCCGTCAGAATATTGATGCCGACCTGTTGTCAAGGAACATGCCAGAGGAGGACGACAGTGCCTGGGTGACTATACCTCAGTCTGGAGTGAAAACTATCTGCCAGAAAGTCTGCATCTCAGAGTCTGCACGCAGTATACCAGTCTGTGTTGCTCAGCTTGGACCATCTCCCCACTGTGTTCCTGATCTGTATGCGTTTCCCACACACATGGAGTTGAAGTCCCTGGAACTCATGTCCAAATTGAGTCTCAGGAAGGCTCAGGAAGAGGATGAAGCCATTGGACCGGCCATCCAAGCCATCAAGCATGGGCGCTGGCCAGAGGAGGGGAACATGAGTACTGAGTTGTCCAGATTGAAAAGAGAAGCTGGGAAGCTGTCAATGAAAGATGGATTGCTGTACCGGTTCAGTAAGAGACCATCCGGAGATGTGGTCAGTCAACTCATCCTGCCAAGAGAGTTCCGTGAGATGGTTATGCAGGCCATGCATGATGACCTCGGGCACCTTGGACAAGAAAGAACTGTTGACCTGCTCCGAAGTAGATTCTTTTGGCCTAGGATGTCGATGCAAGTGGAAGAATACATCAAGAACTGTGGGGAGTGCGTCACTCACAAGACCCCTATACAGAGAGCTGCTCCGTTGCACCAGATCGTAAGCCATGGGCCTATGGATTTAGTGTGCATGGACTTTCTTTCCATGGAGCCTGACTCCAAAGGCATAAGTAACGTGTTAGTGGTCACGGATCATTTCACGAGATACGCCCAGGCTTTCCCCACTAAAAGCCAGAAGGCTCATGTTGTTGCAAAGGTCCTGATTGAGAAATATTTCATACATTATGGACTGCCTTCAAGGATCCATTCGGACCAAGGAAGAGATTTCGAGAGTCGTTTGATCCGAGAACTGTTGACCTTGATGGGGATACGCAAGTCGCGGACAACGCTGTATCATCCGCAAGGAGATCCGCAGCCAGAAAGGTTCAACCGAACTCTGCTCTCTATGCTAGGTACATTAGGCCGGGAGAAGAAGCGTACGTGGAGTCAACATGTGCCTCACTTGGTCCACGCATACAACAGCACCAAGTGTGATGCCACCGGGTACTCGCCTTACCATCTAATGTTTGGCAGAGAGGCGAGACTTCCTGTTGACTTGTCCTTTGGAACGTCCCCAGATGGCATAGAAGAAGCGTCTCACACTCGATATGTCACAAAGCTGAAGGAAGACTTGAAGCAAGCCTACAAGTTAGCCTCTGATGCTGCAGACAAACGGCACCAGAGAAACAAGAGGTTGTATGATCGCCGAGTTACCTTTCAGTCCATAGAGATCGGCGATAGAGTGCTGCTCCGGAATCTAGGCCTGAGAGGCAAGCACAAACTGGAAAGCAAGTGGAGTCCTGATCCGTATGTTGTCGTTGGAAAGATGCCAAACCTACCTGTGTTCAAGATCAAACGGGAGGATGGAAGGCTAGGGACAAAGAATATACACAGGGACCACCTTCTTCCGATTGGACAGCTGGTGAGAATGCCCCGCACTGACCAGGATTCTGATCCGCCTGAGAAACCCAAGACCAGAGCAGACACTCATAAGAGAAGTCAAAGAGACTCAACACCAGAGACTGAAGAGTTACAGGAGTTTTCTGATTCATCCTCTGACATGGAGTATTATGTCACTCACCGTGTCACTCGGAGAGAGCCTGTCCCGAGGGTGCTAAATACTGCCAGGCCAGTAAATGACTTAGAACATGACCCTGAAACAGAACATGAAAATGATTCAGACCCAGAAAAGGTTGGCCACAACTCTGAACCAGAACCCGAGGATGAGGAGTGTGATCCAGAAGTAGCTCTGGAAGAGACTAGTGAAGCTGGATCGGAGTCTGACAAAGAAGAAGTATCTGAGGTCCAGGAGGATAGAGTGCAACCCAGATTTGAGCCTAGACCTAAGAGAACTGTCAAGCCAACTATTAGACTTACCTATGATGAGCCTGGTAGATCAAGAGATGAGCCTTTGACCATTGTACACAGAGGGATTGTCATTAAAATAGGAAAACACTAGACACATTAATTATTATGCCCTTAGGACTCCTTTGTTAGTTTATTAGTGTCTGATGAGGACACTCAGACATTTAAAAGGGGGAGGGTGTAACCATGTTGAAATATATTCATTAGAATAATATATACAAGTTTGAATAAATAATTTCATAGTTTAATAAATAGAATGTAAGGTTAAAAAGTTAAGATTCATTGACCAGCAATGAGTTTATGATTTTGTTCAATGAGAGAAATGCATATTGGGTTATGTTCATGGTTTACTGACTACAGCATTTAAAAGGTTAAATATTTGTTGTGTAATAATATATGTGAAAATACTTTAAATATGCCTGTAAGAGTAGGAAGAAAGAATTACACAAATGTTTTGTGAATTTATTTTATTTCTGAAAGTTTTGTGAATGATCCAATCACAGTTGAGGTCAAAGGGGAAGGGAGTGGATAGAGAGCGTCGAAGAAG